CATGACCTGAGCAAAGGCAGTCGCTTAACCAACTGAGCCACCCAGGCGCCCTAAGTCCAAAATATTTACACTTACTCAGTTTCATCTTCATTGTCAAAAGAAAGGCGGCAACTGTTTTTGATTTGCTTTTGTGAGTTCTTTTTAACTGAGTCCTGCTTATTTATTTCATCTTCATTTGCCTTCTTCTTTCTTAAGCTTGCTGTTAAACCTGAATATTTTTCATCCAAGGAACATTTGACTGGTTTTCCATACATGATTCTTCCATCAAGTGTAGCCGGTTCTTCATCTGCTTTGGCAGCCTTTATTTCTGCTTTAATTTTCATGACTTCTTCAACTGACAGGTCTCCCTTTTTTTTTTTTTTAAAGATTTTATTTATTTATTTATTTGACAGAGAGAGAGAGATAGTGAGAGAGGGAACACCAGCAGGGGGAGTGGGAGAGGAAGAAGCAGGCTTCCCGCGGAGCAGGGAGTCGGATGTGGGGCTTGATCCCAGGACTTTGGGATCATGACCTGAGCCGAAGGCAGACGCTGCACGACTGAGCCACCCAGGTGCCCCAGGTCTCCCTTTTTTAAAACCACCACTTGGGGCTGTTCATCTTCTTTGTTACTGGGGTCACCATCTTCATCTGGGAGCTGAGGCTGGATTCTCTTGGTTTCCACCATAGGTCCTTCCCTGTAGCCAACCTGTTCCTTGAAGCGAGACAGGAACGCCGATTCAGCTGGCCGCACGTCCGAAACCTGGTTCCGCTTGCTCACAGCTGCTCCCAGTAAAAACAGGTTCCCGGGGCCGCCTGGAGATGGTACATTGGCGACAGCCTGAATCCACATTTTTCTTAGTGGAAACCAAAAGATACATTTTGTGGTTGCCACACAAGGACAAAATATTAAGCTAGATCCTAATTCTTATGCAATAATAAAGAGAAGACCTAAACATAGATTGAAAGAGGAAATTATTTCTATTCATTACAAGGTCTTTTTTCAATATTTATTGTGTGCCTATATTATTCTGATAAAAAAATTAAAATAAATGGAGACTAATTGGCCTTTTCTAGGAAAAAGCAGAGCTCTGTAAATATTCAAGTTGCATCTGAAAATAATTTAGTAAAAATTAATGACAAAAGTAAGACTTACCATCTGTCCTTTGGTAAATGAGTAATTTGGGGAAATCAATGGGATTACTGGATATAAGTAAGAATTTGGGATATATGGACATATTGATGAATTTGCATACCAAATTCGTGACTAGAGTATATTTTGAAAAGTAACCAGGAGTTTAACTGACAGAGTAATGTTCAATTGTTTCACATCTAAAATGGTAAATATTTCTCTTAAACCCACTCCATGCATGCCCATTGCATCAATGTTTAATTGATCACCATCGATATAATGGTGTCATGTGGGCAGCTATCTTCCACATAAAGTTTCCTCTCTAAAGATCAATAATTTCAAGTATTTTCAATTTGGGTAATTCTGCCCACAGCCCTAGTCAATGGTGCAGAGACAAGTACACCAGATTAAAACAATTTCCGGATAAAGAGTTTTTCTTCCATTAGAAAACTATAAATAGTAAATGTCTCCTGGCTTTTTGGAAAGTGTGCTACTCTCTAGATTTTGTTACCAAATCTTCCAGCAGCTTCTTTCTGCAGAATGAAGATATTTTATCATCTCCTCCATTTTCTGTGTTATGTGACCTTCATCCTACCAGGTAAAATAAATGCTTGTTTATTTATAAGCTCAGTAAGGAGTCTGCTTCTCCCTCTCCCTCTGCCTCTCCCCCTGCTGCTTGCGTGCTCTCCTCTCTCTCTCTCAAATAATTTTTAAAAATAAATAAACAAACAAACAAATAAGGCCCAGGGAAGATGAATGGTTGAGAATAACAGTAAATATCTCCTGAGATATCAATAATAGAATCTATAAAATGATCCAGGATATAGTATCAAAATAAGCTGGGCAATGAGATACAGTAGGAATAAAATGGCAAATAAAGAAATATTATCACAAAAAATCCTTGTTGAATTAGTTAATACATTAGTAAAGAAATTCAGCAATGGCTTTATGAATCAATTAAAAGGTTTTTTTTGTTTTTTTTTTTTTAGATTTTATTTATTTGCGAGACAGAGAATGAGAGACAGAGAGCATGAGAGGGAGGAGGGTCAGAGGGAGAAGCAGACTCCCTGCTGAGCAGGGAGCCCGATGTGGGACTCGATCCTGGGACTCCAGGATCATGACCTGAGCCGAAGGCAGTCGCTTAACCAACTGAGCCACCCAGGCACCCTTATGAATCAATTAAAAATAAATATTTAAAATACATACTGCAATGAAGTGCATGTTGGAGATTTTATGATATTCTTGAGAGGTCTGTCCTCTGAGGGGATCCAGGCTCTCTAACAATGAAGATATAAATTGATACCCAAAAGTGTTCTAATTTGGACCTAGAAAGTTGGGAATTCAAGAGGTGCAACATGTAACAGAAAGAGAACTGAATTGAAACTTAGAAGATCTAAATTTTATTACTAGCTTCCTACTTAATAACTTCTGAACCTTGCCACTCAGAGAACTTAAGTGATTTGCCAAAGTCTTTAACAATTAAAAAAAAAAAAGAAAATACAAGCAGAATCAATAACAACCACAATCTTAAATAAAAAGTCTGATATAAAATATTGCGCTTGCTAATTATATGCACCTCAAAAAACTGCAGTTAGGATTTAGCGTAATAATGTACCAGTAAGTAGCCCTACAAACTGAAAATTAGTCTACCAATTTAGATACTATTATAATTATTATAGTTGCTGATGTTATAGTTATTATGATTATCATTTTTTAAAGGTTTATTTATTTTAGAGAGAGAGAGACAAAGAGGGAGAGCGTGCATGTGGGGCAGGGGGGTTGCCAGTGGGAGAGGGAGAGAAAGTCTTAAGCAGACTTCGTGATGATGACCCTGAGATCACGACCTGGGCTGAAACCAATAGTCGGAGGCTTAACTGACTGCTCCACCCAGGTGCCCCAGATATTATAGTTATTAATAATGAAGGGGAACTGAGGAAGTGGGGACCTCAAAGATGATTAGGGAGGATGTTGAGGCCCATGGTGCTAGTGTGTCAATCAATAACCATGTAATACTGAGTGGCTAGTGATCTACTGAGCACAATGCTGGACACTAAGGAAACAAAAATAAAAGAAAGACACAGTAATTCTCCAGGCATATTAAAAGCTAGTTGAATAAACTCAGATAAATCAATGAATTCCTTGAATTAGAAGGCTTATAAAAGTATGCTCTAAATAGTAAGAATGGTGGAATTATGGCATGGCAGTTGTGGAGGTTTGGGAAAATGTCCTGCATTCTCTGATGAAGAGCTTTGAAAATGGGGATAAGACACTTGTATTTAGACCTTGGAAGGTGAGAGAAAGAAAGGGAAGACAAGAAGTAAATATGCGAGTCTAGCATGTGCCAAACCCCATTTTGTAACTTCTCATGTAGATATCTAATCTGACCTTCCAGACAACACTCTGAGATACCTGTTATTGCCTCTTTTTATACAAGAGGAAAATGACATCAAAGGAGAGAGTTTTTCAAGGTCACACCTATTATACTGTGTGATAAGTGGAATATAAATATTGGAATACAAAATCCTAGCATATTTGTTCTTTATATTTCATCATGCTTTCTATAGAAGACACTGAGGATAAAGTACAAGATGAATAGATTATTTGGCCAAAAGCAGTGAAGTCACATGGGAATATAGGTGTGCTTCAGATGTGTGGGGACTATACCATTTGCTGAGCATTGCAGAAAACTTTAAATAATGTAATGAAGACACTTAGTGTATGAATATGACCACAAACTTTCCTTTACCTTTTGATCATTCAAACAGATACTAAGTTATAATGTGTACTGAAATGGACAGAATGCTCTACATTTGGCCTTTGCTGGACCAAAAAAATAGGAAGGGTAATACAAGGTATCAGAGTGAGTGGCTTTGAAGGAGCTTATAGAGTAGTACATATCAATTACACAACAGTGTGGTTTGTCTATTTATAGAACCTTAAAGTCATTAAAGAAACAATAAAAAGTATTCAGTCTAAGTGGATACTTTGTGAAGATGTAAGATGAGTGATCCAAGCAGAGTGATACCATGCTGGAGGGAGAGTTATAGAAAATTGATAGAGAATAATACTGACGATGGTTAAAACATGACAGAATGAGCAGTATTTTAGTCAGTATTTTAGTACAAGCAAAAATAATCCATAGAGACAGTGAAAACAGCATACTAGTGGTTTATAGAGTGAGCTTGTCATCAAATAGATCAGAGTTTATATTAAGGACCTGAGGCTCCTTTGTAGTTGTGGAGAAGCTTTAATTCCTTTAACTGTACAATGGAAAGGTAATACCATTAATTTTATAAGATTTTGCAAAGATTCAGAGATAATGTAAGCAAAACATTTATCACATTCAATATCATATTGCAGTATTTCAAGAAATGGAAAAATAGAAGTAGAAGTAGAAAACAGAAAAAGAGGAGAGGAAGTAGTTGAGAAAGAATACAAGGTACTGTCTCAGTATAGCCACTTGTTAAGATGTCTCAGAATGGACCTTAAATGACAGAAACATGGTGGCCTTAGAAACTTTAAGATGTATTGCTTGGTGCATGGGAGGCTGAGTCTAAAATAGTGGAGGAGAGACCTTCACCTGTGTTGAATTGTTTGTTGGTGGAAAGACAGCAATGGTCCCGGTGCTCTAGATTTTATTAAATTTAAAATCAAGTTGATTTGGTTACAAATGAGAATTACCAATAAAATGTTGGGAGAAAAGTGGAGCTTATAAAAATAAATAACCTCTTCCCATAGGCCAGGATTTCACTGACTAGCTAAGTAACTTCTCAACCAATCCAGAAAGATGCTATATGACAAATGAATACCATGTTAGTGCTTCTCTTGCGGCAATGATTTGTTTTTATTATTTTGTACTTGTTAAGGTAATTTGCAAATTAGTCTTAATATTTTTCTGTATTTTCATCCACCTGACTTAAAGAATTATACCTTCTTCAATATCCTTGAATAAGCTAAGGAAAAATAAAACACAAATATTAATATTTTAGAGCATTTTATGACTTTTACATGATGGTACTATTAATTGCTAGGAAGTGTCTTCAATAGTAGAGATCCAGGTGCCAACCATAAGATAAGAGACAAGTGCAACTCTTACCAGACTGACAATATTTGAGAAATAGAAAAGAAAAAAGAAAAAAAGGATTTAATTCTAAGCTCTGAATAAGAGGTCGGTAAGAGATGGGGAACAGAAAGTGACCTTAAATTCTCAGTTATCCAACTTTGAGTTAAGACATCAAAGTCAAGGGAACTGACAAATAATTCCACATAGAGGAGCTAAAATTATTTTATTTAAATTTGTCTAAAGTAAAATTTTTCTTACGTTCAGGTTGCAGAAAGGAAACCCACTTATTAAGCATATATAGAGTATATTAAGTATGTATTACTATTGATTCTTTGTATGGGTAAACATATTCATCTTAATAAAATTCTATTTTGTCATTCAGTGCTCAACTTCTGATTTTCACATCTTCAGGTTCCTCCATAGTCATAAAATACTTAAAGGTCCTAGAGACAACAAGCTACCATAAGCAATATTAAATTTGAGACCATATCCAGATCTGTTGAGTGTTTGTCATATGTCACTTTCCAACTTTTTCAATGTAGAGGCTATGGATTACATATTTAAAATGCAAATTCTGGTTTGGAACAATTTAAGATTGAACCCTGGGTTAAGCATGTATTAGTTTTGTAACCTTGGGCAAATTATTTGGTCACTCAAAGCCTCAGGTTTTTTATCTGAACAGCACCAACCTCAAAGTTTTATGACAGTTAAATGAGATAATGTATGCAAAATATTCAAAACAATACCTGACACACAGTAGGTTTTCAATGAAGGAAATCTATTTGTGTTATTATTAGTTTCTGAACTTAAACATATCATATGCTCTTTCAACTCTAGGATGAGAATCATACTACTTGTCTGACTGGTTCTTGTTCTTTTTATACTCCTCCTGTGCATTTGAATAACACTTGCTCATTTTTTAAGGTTAAATTTTCCTATCACTCTTCCATGATACAACACCATGACATTAAGCAAACACTTAATCTGTTCACACATTAGACCTAATATATTTCTCTATCATGGTACTTAATTAGCCTATCTCTCTCTCTCTCACTCTCACTTTGGCTCAGTGTTTTGCTTTACCTCCAGAAAAAGCCCACCACCTGGTCTAAAAGTTGGAGTCAATAAGGATTTAATTTCAACTATAGTCTTTTTATTCACCATTAATTAATAACAGTTCTTAATCTGTGAGAAACTATTATGTTCCAGACACTATTGTACACCTGTTTATGTGTTAATTCATCATGTTTCATAGAGACTCAGTGAATGAGATACCATTTTCTCCATTTTACACATGAAGCAACTGAGGCTCGTAGGGCTTACCCAAAGTTACTTAGCTAGCAAATAACAGCATTAAACTTCAAGCTTAAAGTCCATGGCTGTAAACTCTGCAGTTAGAAAAACTATCAATCTGTACCATACAAAGATTTTGAAAAATTAGTGATTTGTTGTTGACCTCTGAAAGTCGGGGACCTCGGGCTGTTTGCTCAGGGTCCCCTGTGCCTCGCTACACTGTCGTCCCTTTTTGGGACGGTGAAGGAACTGAGAAAAAGAGACGACAGTAAAGCGAGGCACAGGGGACCCCGAGCGAACAGCCTGAGGTCCACAATTTGTTTGCTCTACTTGATGTTAAAACTTTACAATAAAAATTATAGTAGTCTGTTTCGCATAGCAGCAACCTGATATTAAAACATAATATAAAATTGTAACAGTTTTTTTCATATAGCCTCTCCCATGCACTGAGGGGGATATATGGACAAAAAAAAAAAAACACGAAACAATTGCTTAAAGGCATTGCAGAGTAAATGGGTCAATTAAAAGTTACAGTGAAAAGATCAAGTTGAGATCAACTTCTGAGGCTAGAAGCATTCTTCTCCCTAGAAGCATCTGACTATTCTTAAAGACACAGGAAATAAGATGAAAAGCAGAAATCTGATAGCCTTATGCTACCACTGGGGCAAAAATTGTAATTCAGAGCCTGCAAAGGAAGGAGAACTATGGGAATACTGGTGTGCTTTGGCTGAGGATCCCAAAAAACTACAAACTAGGTTAAAAGGACATTAGTCCAGCCATCCAGCCGTCCCAGGAACTAATACCCACTTTTACATTATCTCAAGTTCTATAAATGGTTTAAGATTATCCAGGAAGGTTAGTTGGTAGTCTTAGCCATCAACAAGGAACAATAATAAATCATTCTGGAGAAAGATAACATCATTCTAGACCTCAAGCTATTTCCTCAATCTTTCATTAAAAATGTATGTGACAAAAATAATCAGGAACAAATGAAAACAGAACTCTCCTATCAAAAATCAAAACCAGCATACAAGGGAAGAGATTAACAAAGAATCCAGATAATGAAGTTACCAGACCTAGACTTTAAAATAACTGTGCTTAACTTGTTTAAATAAAGAAAAACAAAAGTAAAAACTTGACATAGACGTGAAGACTACAACAAAGAGCAAAAATAAAATTCCAGAACTGAAAAATTCATAAAGCAAAATTAAATACATATTTAATGTGTTAAATAGTTGCTTTTACATAATCAGTGAGATATTTAATGATGATGAAAGATGAATCAGAAGGAAATATCTGGAATGAAACAAGAGAAAATTAGAGGTTGAAAAATAAGAAAAAAGGTGAAGGAGGGCGGGAAGGATGAAGGAAAGAAGGAAGGTAGGAAAGAGGAAAAGAAGGAAGGGGGAAGAAAGGAAGAAATGAAGGAAGGAAGGAAGAAAAAGCATAGCAAACTGCTAAAAAACAAAACAAAACAATAAAGCAAAGCAAAAGTTGAAGAAAACAACATATTTTCAAAGGGTCAGATATTAAACTGAAAGTTGACTTCTCAAAAAACAACAAAGAAGTCACAAGACAAGGTAGTGATATCTTCAGAGTCCTGAAAGAAAACAACTATAATCTAGAATTCTGTATCAAATGAAAATACCCTCTAGGAGTGAAGATAACATAAGGATATTCTCAAATAAAAACAGAGAGTTCAACATCAGAGCTCCTGTATTAAGGGAAATTCTTAAAAGATTGTTTGGCCAGAAGGAGAATGATTTTCAATGTGGAGGCTCAGAAACACAGGAAAAAACAAAAAACCAAACAAAAAAAAACAAACAAGCAATGATTTTTAATAAGACTTTGGTAAGTTGAAACTTCTAGCATAAACACAAAAAAAGAGTAAAAGATAATATAAGTACACAATGGTAAATTATATGATGGGATTGTAAAAAATAACCAATATATAGAAAAGAAGATAAGAAAAAAAATAACAGGATATATTTCATCCAATATATATTACTATTATAAATATTAGTGTAAAGTTAAAAAAATGAATGAATCTTTTGAATGTAGTGAATATAGTTTTGAATGTACTGAATAGTTTATATGAGAAATATCTAATATATGAGAAAAGAGAAATTATAAAATCTAAAGGATAAGGAAGGATATAAAACCCCAACAAAAGCATGGTGAAGTAGTTATATTAGTATTATATAAAGTAGACAGTAAGAAAAAAATGCATTACTAGAGACAAAGAATGATTATTCATAGTAATAAAAGATTCAATTCAACAGGATGATATTGCAACCATAAATTTAATGCAACAAATAACTTAGTCTTGAAATATGTAAAAAAAAAATAGAAAGACAAAAAGAGTAGAGAACACCATAATAATGGGTGATGATAACACACCTTCCTCAGTTACACAGAAAACAGAGAAAAACAAACAACATAAATGTAAGAATAAGAAGATATAAATATGAAGATTAACGAAACTCAACCTAATTCAAAGAAGAAATATCAGTGAGTATTAGAAAATATCATCATCTGAACGGTAATAGAAATGAGAGCACAAAGCTCATAGAACACAGCTACAGTAGAGTTTACAGGGAAATTCATACCATTATATTCATATATCTGAACAGAATAGTGTGGTACTGGTCAAAGAGTAAACAAATAGATCAATAGAACAGGACAGAGATCTCAGAAATAGATCCCTATAAATACAGTCAACTGATACTTGACAAAAGAGCAAAGGCAATATAATGAAGAAAAGACAGTCTCTTCAACAGCTGATGTTGGAACAAGTGGACGTCCACATGTGAAAAAAGTGAATCTAGACTAGTGAATAGGCTTGAAATGGCTCATAGATCCAGATGTAAAATGCAAAATTATAAAACTCCTAGAACATAACATAGAAGAAACCTAGATGTATGTCCTTGGGGATGGCAAGGACTTTCTGGATACAGCAGCAAAGGCACGATCCACGAAAGAAAGAGTTGATAAGCTGGACTTTATTAAAACTAAAGACTTCTGCCCTGAGAAATATAACAACAAGATAATGAGATGACAAGCCACAAACTGGGAGAAATACTCGCAATAGACACATGCGATAAAGGACCATTATCCAAAACATACAAAGAACATTTAAAACTCAACAATAAGGAAACAAAACAAAATAAAAACAAAAGGACCAAAACACTTAACAGACATCTCATCAAAGAAGTTATACAAATGGCAAGTAAGCATATGAAAGGATGTTCCACGTCATATGTCATCAGGGAAATGTAAATTGAAACGAAGTAACATTTTATACCTATTAAAACAGCTAAAATTTGGAATACTGGCAAAACCAAATTGTAGTGAGTATATGGAGCAACAGGAACTCTCATATACTGCTGATGGGATTGCAAAATGATATAGCTACTTTGGAACACAGTTTGGCAGTTTCTTATAAAACTAAAGATACTGGGGGTGCCTGGGTGGCTCAGTCGTTAAGCATCTGCCTTCGGCTCAGGTCATGATCCCAGGGTTCTGGGATTGAGTCCCCCATCGGGCTCCTTGCTCAGCAGGGAGCCTGCTTCTCCCTCTCTCTGTCCCTCTCCCTACTCATTTTCTCTCTCTCTCTCTAAAATAAATAAATAAAATATTTATTTTATTTATTAATATTTATTTTATTTATATTTATTAATATTATTAATAATTATTTATTAATAAAAAACTAACAATACTGGTACCATATCACAGCAATTATGCTCCTTGGTATTTACCCAAAGCAGCTGAAAACTTCTGCCCACACAAAAACCTGCCCATGAATGTTTATAAAAGCTGTATTCCTAATTTCCAAAGCTTGGAATCATCCAGGATATTTTTCAGTAGGTAAATGGATAGATCAACTGTGATATATCCAGACAACGGAATGTTAATTAATGCTAAAAAAAAATGAGCTATCAAATCATGAAAAGACATATAAGAACTTTAAATTCACATTACTAAGTGAAAGAAGCTAATCTAAAAATGCTGTGTACGATATGATTTCTACTATAGAACATTCTTGGGAGGGCAAAACTATGAAGGCAGTAAAAAAGACAATAGTTGGCAGAGGAGGGAGGGGAGAGATGAATAAGCAGAGCCCAGAAGATGTTTAGGGCACTGAAAATACCTTGTATAATATTATAATAATGGATATATTTAATTATACATTTGCCCAAACCCATAGAATGCACAACACGAAGAATGAACCATAGTGAAAACTATGGACTTTGGGTGGTTATGATGTGTCAATGTAGCTTCGTCCTTGGTAAAAAATGTACCCTTCTGGTGGATGATGTTGATAATGGGGAAGGTTATGCATATTTAGGGGCAGGTAGTATATAGGAATGTGCCTTTCTTTCAATATGTGCCTTTCTTTCAATTTTTTTGTAAACCTAAAACTGCTCTAAAAATAAAGCCTTTAAAAAATTTTTAAAGAGAACTCATGAATTCTTTTAAAAAAATTGTATAATAACATAATAAGGAAAGTATATGAACTATTAAAGAAAAAAGAAGAATTGTTCGGAACAAATACTAACTAACAGCATAAAAATTAAAACTGCAGTGGACACCATTTTATTTGGGGGCAAAAGTTACATATATTGCTGGTGCAATATATAAATTAATAACCCTGGACTCTAACTCTTCCACAATTATCTTAAATATGGCTCATGTAAATATTAAAATATGTACTACAAATTTGCTTATTATAATCTTAAAATATTAAAATTTTAAATACGACCTAATGGAAAAAATGGACAAACTGTCATATATTTCAAAGGAATATTATGTAGCTCTAAAAAATTTTTGAATCTTATTGAGGAGAATAATGTATGGCATAAAAATGTAATATATATTAATTTAAAACATGTTCAAACTTTGTATATATATATATGGAAGTATGTAATATTTTAGTGTCTTCTTATTTTTTGGCATTTTATAAGTTCATTACAATGTATACATAGTACTTTTTGTCATCAGAAATAATATGTTCTTAAGTAAGAGATTAGTAATGTCGGTTACTCTTCTTTTACTATAGCCACATGTACCTTGGTGGATCCTGATCGGTGCACAAAATATTTCGGTTACTGTAGAAGACGCTGCTTTAAATATGAAAAGCAAATTGATATATGTCTCTCACCAAGTAAAATTTGCTGCATTGAGAGGTTATTTGAAGAAGATTAATTTTGAAAAGGAAGATGTACCTGTGATCAAAGAAGTTTGTACACCAGTGCAAAGAGGTATAGGAATAAATTAGACTTTCTGTAATAAATAAAGACATATGCCAATATTGATATCTTCCTCTGTAGATATTAATTATGCATTCAGTGGAGTGAGCTAAGACCTTTCTTTTATTCTCAAGTTAGAGGTTTTATGATAGAGGTATATCTTTCGTTAATTTCCTATCATTATGGATATCACCTTTGCTTCAGTTTAGAACCACTTTTGATCTGTCATGGCTTACCTAAACTTACACAATTGAACATTTGCCAACTTAACCATGACCTTATTAGAAATGTGATTGACGAAAATTAATACCCATAGACTTATCAGTTATCTAAATGTCATCATTATGTTATTGACATTGAGAAACAGGAAACCTCAGTACAAGATGAGGACATAAGCTACAGTACAGCATGACGATATTCACTGGCCATTCCTTTCTTCTCTCCGAGTTCTGTTCGTGCAAGAAGGCATATTAATTGAATATTATTTAATACTAATACTATTAAACTGGGTTTAAATACAATCTGAACTTTGGCCAGAGTCTAGACTCAAAACATTATCTTGGCAGTTTTGTACTTAGTTCTGAAGGGATGGAAAAATGCATAAGTTCTGTTGTTTCATTCTCAGTGTAAATACTAGACAGCACAAATAGTCTCTGTAATGATAAAAGTTAAGGGAAAAACATAGAGACTAGAATTTTTTTCCAGCTAAAAACAAAGGACCAATCAACCATTTATCAATATTTTACCAAGTTCCCAAACATTTTTACTACTGTTTTTTTTTTAAACTAACTTAACAACTGGCCCAAGATTACTGCTTTTTTTTTTTTAATTTTTAAATTTTTGGTTTTTTTCACTAGAGATCTAGTGAACCTCATGATAATATCTAGTTTAAATAGCTTGTTCCAGGACAGGCATCATATTGCCTCTGGGGATTTAAGTGATGTGTACCTAAAAAACAAAAACAAACAAACAAAATATGTTTAATTCAAGTACAATGTCTAAGTTAGAGGCAAGAAGGGTAACCAAAGTCTGTACTTCTGCAGGATCAACAATCAGATATGAGGATCAAATTCAAGAATCTGAAAAGAGAAGAAAAAAAATGTGGGGCGCCTACGTGGCTCAGTCTTTGAGCGTCTGCCTTCGGCTCAGGTCATGATCCCAGGTCCTGGGATTGAGCCCCGCATCGTGCTCCCTGGTCAGCAGGAAGCTTGCTTCTCCCTCTCCCACTCCCCCTGCCTGTGTTCCCTCTCTCACTGTGTCTCTGTCAAATAAATAAATAAAATCTTTTAAAAAAATGCATAAAGAGCTCCAGGGATGGAGAACAAGTTGTAAATGTTGAATGCAATAAGAAATGAGACAAAATAATTCATGATTTGCATTAAATCTTTGTGGAAAGGGATTTTGGAGGATGGTGGCAGCAACATAGTTGTTTAGAATAGAATGACTATGGGCTAAACCCAAAACTCCTGGAAAAATTTACATCAAACAGACAAGATATCCCTGCATACCTTATCATATAAGTTAGTGGAGAAAAAAAAATACCAATGGTTTCAAGTCCTTTATGGAATCTGTACTTGTGTGGGAGAAATCAGATGGAAGAAAAACAGTTTTTTGATGGGTTTGAGAAGACACCCAGAGTGCCAACAGCATTTGTTGGGAAAGACAGCAAACCAGTTTATTGACAACAGCTATAACTACTTCTTTCTTGGAGCCACCACTAGATTTCAAGTAAATTGTGAGGGTTTAAGAAATATTATATTCTTTTCCTTTGTGTCTCCTCAAACCTGTAATAGGCTCGTAACCATACTATGTATTCATTAATAAATGTTGGAAAATAATAAAATATTTAACCTAGACATTCCAACTTATTTCTTGTCTGTCTTAAGCAGACAGCATTTTATTCTAAATTTTATAGTTTAAAATTTCATTTCTGGAAAACACTGAGATTTCTGGAAGAAGGCATTTCTGGTTGTTATCCTAGGGGATTTGCTATTGATTCATGTAATCTTGGACAAGTTACTAAACTAGCTCTCAGTTTGCTCATCTGTAAATGATAATGATAATATATTATAATTAAATAAATATAAAATTATAACTACGATCTGTATTATCTGGTCCTCCAAATGGGAATTTCAATTTTTATCCATATATCCTCCAACAATTTAAGGTGGTCCTTCTATGCAGTTTATAGCAACACATTAAAATCTTCTTTCTTCTCTTAATTTCTATCATTCTGATACCCCTGGGAGTTTTCCTCTACATGGTGGTAAAAGTGGGTATGATAAGAAATAATCAAATTCTTAATGCATTCGGAAGTCTACCTAGCCAAATGATCTGCTGGGAACAGAAAGTGAGGATGTGACTTGCATCCTTGCACACTAGGGATGACCCAAGGCTTTGTGTTTGGGTAATTGTAAAAATACAATTGCCATTAAATGAGTTGGGAAAACTGTGGGAGGTGCAAGTTTGGTGAGAGTGTACATGTCAGAAGCTCAGTTTGGACATCTTAGGTTAGATATTTAATTGGAAAGACCGATTAGGCAGTTGAATGTTTGTTTAATGTTAAAGACAGAGGGTTCAGGCTAGAGATAAAAACTTGGAATTGTCAACTTCTAGATGCCATTTAAAGCCATAAGATTGAATGAGATCACCTTGGAAATAAGTAGAGGTAAAATTTCTGGGATTAATCTTTATATCTGGGATGTCAAAATCCAAAGATTGATGAGATGAGAAACCAGTGTACAAAACTAATAAGAAGTGACAAGAAAGTTAGGAGACAACTAGGTAATATGATGTCCTAAAAAGCCTCTTAAAAGAATGAATCAATTATTTCTAAAAAGCCAATTAAAATAAAAACAAGAAATAGCCAATGATTTAGCACATGCTAAGTCTTTGAGGTCTTTGAGGACCATTCCTAGAACAATTTCAGGAGAGCAGAAGAGGCAAAAACCTGGTTCAAGAGAGAATGAAAGGATAGAAATTTAAGAGAAAATATAGAAAATTATTTTAGGGGCACCTGGGTGGCTCAGTCAGTTAAGTGTCTGCCTTCAGCTCAGGTCATGATCCCAGGGTTCTAGGATGGAGCCCCGCATCAGGCTCCCTGCTCAGTGGGGAGCCTGCTTCTCTCTCTGCCTGCTGTTCCCCCTGCTTGTGCTCTCTCTCTCTGGTAAATAAATAAAATCTTTAAAATAAGAAAATTATTTTAAAGAGTTTGGAAATAAATTGAACAAAGGAAATGATGTGGTAGTTAGAGGTCAAAATAGGGTCAAGAGTTTTTTTTCAATATTTATAAGTGGAAATATTTTTTAAACACTACAAAAGAATCTAATAGAGATCAACAAAATGAAAAGGCAATGTATGGAATGAGAAAAAAATATTTGGAAACCATCTATGTAAGGGGTTAATATCCAAAATACTTAAGGAATGTGTGCAACTCAATTGCAAAAAACAACTTGATTAAAAATTGGGCAGAGGCACCAAATAGATATTCTCTCAAAAAAGTCATGCAAATGGCCAGCAGGTACATGAAAAGAGATGCTCAACATCACTAATCATCAGGGAAAGTCAAATCAAAACCACAATGAGATTTCACCTTACACTCTATGGAATAGCTAGTATCAAAAAGACAAGTGATAACGAGTCTTGGCAAGGATGTGGAGAAGAGAACCCTGTGCATTGCTGATGGGTATGAGAATTGGTACAGACACTATGAAAAACAGTGTGGAGTTTCCTCAAAAAAATTAAAGTAGAACTACCATATGACCCAGAAATCCCACTTCTGGGTATATAGCCAAAGGAAATAAAAATAGGATCTCAAAGAGGTATCTGCACCCCCATGTTCATTGCATTTTTCACAATAGCGAAGCTATAGAAGCAATCTGTGTTCATCTATCAATAAAAGGATAAAGAAGATGGATAAAGGCTGTGTATGTGTGCATTTATTTATTTGTTCGTTTATTTATATTAGACCCTGTGCTGGGGGCTGAGGACCCTGTGTGGGTTTTACAGCCTCACAGGGAGTAAAGGCATCGACCACTTACTTGTAGCAGGAGCATGAGGGCTAGAAACTGAGAAACTGGCGAGTGAAGCTGGTGCATCATGGGGTTCTTATCTGAACAGGAGGGACAGTGGGGACAGAGATAGTCCCTGGGACAAAGGGAGGCCTGAAAGATGAGAAGAAATTCTTCATAGCCTCAGGGCGCCAGGGTCCCAGTTGGTTAAGCACCAGACTCTTGGTTTCAGCTCAGGCCATGATCTCGAGGTCGTAGGATCCAGCCTCACGTCGGCTCTGGGCTCAGCACTGGGTCTGCTTACCCCTCTCCCTCTGCCCCTCGCCCCACTCATGTGCTCACTCTCTCAAATAAAACCTTAAAAATAAATAAATAAATAAATAAATAAATTAATTAATTAATTCTCCATAGCCTCATTGTGGCAAGTGGCTACTCTACAGGCAGTGTAGCTCTCAATCTCCTCCATTACTGATTTCTGCTAAACTTGCTAGGTTGCTTTTTCATTCGTTCACCCAGTATAATTGTTGAACACTAATTGTGAGTGACAGCTCCTTTTGATTTTTCTCAATGGGGTCTTCATAGAGGTGTAACAGAGAAGACACAAATGGCTTTGAAAGTATAGAGACTTCAATTTGCCACTCAAGAGTTGTGCTAAATTGGATAGCCAATTGGTCTCCAAGGACTTCAGCTTTGTTAGCTGTGAAAATATGAAAAACCATATTCTCTGGAGAGTTCTGTAGGGAGGGGACTTCTAAATGTACTAAAAAGCCCTCTGCAGATTATCTGACATGTAGTAGTCGCTTGTAAGTATGAGTTTCCTTCCCTCTATAATTTGTTTTATTTTTATTTTATTTTTTTTAAAGATTTTATTTATTTATTTGACAGAGAGAGAGACAGCAAGAGAGGGAGCACAAGCAGGGGGAATGGGAGAGGGAGAAGCAGGCTT